AGAACACAGAAGGATCCTATGAAGTCCAAACATCTTTAGGTTTACCATGAAGACATTTGAATATTTAAAGAAACAAAGAATGTAAAATGCAGTAGACTTCCCCAGGTAGATTAAAATCAGGTCATATGCAGCTTGACTATGCCCTTCTAGAAGCTCTAACTTTGAAGGAGGCCCCAACTAGCAGATGAGAACAGAAAAAAAAAAATCCTCCAAACCTCAAAAAATATCTCCAGTCCATGAACAACTCTGCCAAAATATGCAGAGAAAGAAAGACCAAAATTATTTAGGACGAAGTATTTGTTTCTTTGATGAGTTAGGAATAGTTGCTTATATTTATTCATAGATATAAAAAATAAATGAAAATATTAGAAATAATCTAGACATCTGATAGTTTAAGTACCAGTCATGTCAAGAATGTGGAACCTCAGAGTATTCCACAGATTGATCATACAGAGCTAATAAAAACACGTAACTGAGAAATTATTTAGACTTGGGATGGACTGATGTTTTACTGTTTGTTAACAGCACTGAAACAGTTAAGAGAAGGTTTACCATGCTTGAGTTTAATTTTTTATTAGATTTAGATGACTTGAGGTCTTGGGAAAATCTATTTATTAGAGAGGATTATCTCTTGAAAGGAAATAGAATCATTAAATGAATAAATGCATTTGAAATATTTAAAGGGGTTTAATTTACACAGTTTGTAAATAATATAAAACATAATCAAAGGCCATTTCAGAGAGATTATTAAAACTTTGTTAGTGTTGCATATGCTATTAGAATGTGTAAACTGAATTTGAAAGTTTAATGACTAAGTTTTTTTTTTATTTTGTAGCTTTAACAACTTGAATATTAATTTTTAAAAATAAGTATATAGTGTTTTCAGTGTTCAAAGCTGCCCTCAAAGGCACCGAAGCCCGCCCTATATTCACAGGGGTAGGTTCCTGACTCATAGCTTGCTCTGCAAGCAGGAAGCACCACGCGTGGCTCCAGGTCCTGGCTTGGATGCTGTTTTTCTCAGCAGTGACAAGAACTGCTCTCTCCTGGCTCAGAAGGCCCAACCTGTCAAGAACCTCGCCAACACAAAGCCAGTTCTCACCACAAAGAGAACATAAGATGGCTTATTCTACAGCCAAATATGAGTGGCTGTGGCCGAAGAACAGAGATTCATGTTACTCCAAATACCATGTTGCATCATGGAAACAATTTCACAAAGTTCTTATATTACAGAACAAAAGAAAGTCACAAATCAAGGCCTTTTTCAAATACGTTGATGGGAATATCAGACAAGTAGGTTACAGTAAAGTGGGGAAGTCTCTGCTACAGGCATCAGATGCTATCTGATAACATTCTTAGCCTTTGGATTGGTGGAGGCTAATGGTCTGTAGATTCCTAAAGAGTTCCCAGTAATCACAAGGATATTAGGTCAAACACACAAGGGACAATGAATGACTATTAAGGGAACTGAAAGATAGCCCAGGATACTTTGGCCCTGGATTTGTGACATTCCAGTTCTCCACAATCAAGAAAGCTCTAATCAGTCAACCAGCCTTGCAGAATATTTAACACAGGAGTGATTTTCTCCAGGAACTTCCATTCATAACCAAAATAGCTTTTCTATTGGCTTCAGGAATCTTCAGCCTTTGGAAATATTTTTAGCTTCACCCTTCCTTAAGTGTCTTGGCTTACCAAGTGAACCATGTTTTATTTGAGCTATTTCTGATTAGGAAAAACATTGCATTTGACCTTGCCTGATCTTCTAGTATGTTTATCTTTCAGATGTAGCTTTATTTATAGGAGCCGTGTGTTTTTACTGTTTTCACTTTGCCTCTATAAAATGATGGATGCCATGGCTACCTTCCCTCAGAAAAAATCTTACTTGACTGTGTTCATACTCCCCTTAGTAAGGGGCCAGGTCTTCTCTTGCACTCCCATCCCACACAGGTGTACATGTCCCTCACTTTCTGGCACAAGAACTGTGAAATGCAGGTGACATGGCTACAGTCAGGAGTTTGGTCCTAAGAGCCTGGTATTTGGACTCTACCACACACCAGCTCCTAGGTCCTCCCCCACATCTCCTGAGGATCCCCTCTATCTCCTGTCTGTCCCCCAATGAGTGGGAGCAGAATACCCTTCCACATTAAACCTGTCTTCCAATCTTTATTTCTTCACTTCAGCCAACAGCATTGGTGGATGGTTCTGCTTCTGTGTGGTATCAGGGATGGAAGAAGCCGCTTTGGTACCAGTGAGACAGCAAAGCAGGGAGAAATCCTCAGCCATAGCTATGGGTTCATTCAAGGGGGGAAATTATTCCTTTCACTTCATCTTTTCCTTTTCAAAGGAGAAAGGAGGGGGCTGGAGAGATGGCTCAGCAGTTAAAAGCACTGGCTGCTCTGGCAAGGTTCCCAGCATTCATATGGTGGCTGACAACTATCCCTAACTCAGTTTCAGGGGATCCAATGCCCACTCTGGTCTCTGTGGGCATTGCACATATGTAGTACACTTAAATACATGTAGGCAAAATACCCATACACATAAAATAAAAATAAATTTTTTAAAAAATTTAAAAGGGGAGAGGAAGTAAGGAAAATGGACAGAAAGACAATTCTTGTCTCAGGCGAGACAGATTGAGTCCAAACAGTAGGCTTTGGGTTTGAATGCTGCTTTACCATAGATTAGCTGTGTAACCAGGCAAAGGTAAGTGATCAATAGTTCCAAGCTTCAATTCCTCATCAGTAAAATGAGATTTTACTCATTCATTCATTTCACTGCATTTGCCTTCTGGAGCGTTCTGTGTTTGTTTTTTACATTTATTTATTTACAGAGCATGTGCGGGGATTGAATGGATAATCTGCAGGAGTCAATTCTCTCCTTCTACCATGTGGGGCTTAGGGACTGAACTTGGGTTGTCAGGCTCAGTGGCACCTTTACCCGCTGAACCATCTTGCTGACTGCCTTCTAGAGCTTGTATAGAGAACTGCCTGCAAAGAGAAACTGCTTATAAGGTGCTTAGATGAGTGCCCGGCATAAAGTGACCCTTCAATAAACCTGCCCTGTTATCATTGTGTGAGAATCATTATTGCTAAAGAAAACAACAGCAGGCCAGGAATGATGACACATACCTTTAATCCCAATACTCCAGCTGCAGATGCAGTCCAGATCTCTGTGAGTTTGACACCAGCCTTGGCTGTATAGTGAGTTCTAGACCAGCCAATGTGCTACGTAGTAAGACCCTGTCTCAAAAAAAAGATAACAGTAGAGAGGTTCTTAGAATGAGAGTGAGAGATAGCTACCCTAAGGGATGATGGGGCAGGGCGGGGAGCCAGAAGAACTTCAGAGAGCAGCCTTCAGAGCACCTCCTGGAACAAATTCCCCTGAGGAGTCTCTAGGCCAATCCCTCAGAACAAAGGAAAGCTCTGACTTTTTATAACCTTTTAGGAGTGATGGGAAGCATCACATCATGTGATTTAGTTCAGCATAGTATACGAGACTCTGAGCAAGGAGAAGCCAGGTACCATAAATTGAGAGCTGCCAAGTCACAACACAGAGACTGCTTCTTAACTCCCTGTCCCAGAGAGAAAGGAACAGGGAGGTGTGGCCTGATTCAGGCTATGGGATCTGGCCTAAAGGTGCAGGGTCCAGTTCTAACACACTAGTTGTCTAGTCCAGAAAATTGAAGACACCTGCAAACAATATTATCCAGCAGTAGAGTCATATGCAGAGGTCCAAATGCTGCCTGGGGAATTTCAAGAGCTGTGCCCTGAAGGTGATTCCTTTTTTAAAAAATATTTTATTTATTACTTTTATTTTATGCATATGAGTGTGTTGCCTGCATGCATGTGAGTGCACCTGTGTCCTGCAATGCCGTGGAGGTCGAAGAGGGCTTCGGATTCCCCTGGAACTGGAGTTAAGGACGGTTCATAGCCATCACGTGGGTGCTGGGAACTGAACCTGGGTCCTCTGCAAGAGCAGACAGTGCTCTTAACCACTGAGCCATCTCTCCAGCCCCTGAAGGTGATTCTAAAAAACTAAAGACATAGTGTCTGAGGCACTCAACAACTTCATAAAGTAAAAGTCAAGAAGCATTTTTTTTCCACATAATGAAAATCTTAAAACTTTAAAACCCAGATCAATAGTAAATGTCTACTAGATCTACTTCAACCTCTGGGAAGTATATCAAGTCCAGCCCCTTTATTCTACGGAAATGCGTGCCCGTGATGTAAAAATCCAGCACCAAATTCTTTTGTCAAGTGAAGGATTCCGGCCTTAGTCTTTATGATCACAATTTCCTACACAGAAGATTCAGCCTTCCTGTTCCACAAGTGGTGTTACCTCTTTATTCTCCTGAAAAGAATCACCAGTGCCTCTGCCAGATTTTGGCCTAGAGCCACAGGCTGAATACAATACCTTTACAGGTATTGAGTACTATACCTTTACAGGTATAGTAAGAGTAGAACCCCCTACCCTTCCCTCCCCTCCCTTCCCTTCCCTCTCCTTCCTTCCCTTCCCTCTTCCCTTCCCTCTTCCCTTCCCTTCCCTTCCCTTCCTTCCCCATCTTTCCCTTCCCGAGGGAAAGGTGCCCCGTGTGAAATAAATCTGTGTCCCGTTGAGAATTCCATCTGAGCCTCTGTGCCTCATCCATCCGCTCCTGCCTCCTCCATCTGCCCGCTCGCTCCCGCCCATCCATACCTATCAACATTTAACTTATGCAGTTGAGCATCCCCTCCCCTCCCTTCCCCTCCCCTTCCCTTTCTTTTCCTTTCCTCCCTCCCTCCTTTCCTTACTTCTTTCTATAAGATGCACTTAGAAACTTACTTTGCTAACAAGCAGATCTCCTCATCCCTTGGGCCCACAAGATAACTAAAACCAGGATGAAAGCCTGGCACCTCTATCTTCATTTTTTTGTCTCCTCTTCTTTGGCTCAGACTCTTGCTTGCCTTTGAATAAGCATAAGTCACTAAGGAGTGTCTGTCAGATTAACCTGTCTCATCCCCTTCCAGGCTGCAGGCACAGAAATAAGTCATAATCCTGAACATGTGGTCATGTTGGGTTCCAGGACCAGCAGAACCTTGATGAACAGACTCCACCACCAGATGGGGCAATTATCCATGAGGATGAGGAAGAGACTAAATCATCTGCTGAGGTCAGCTTGTCTCCTCAAGCAATCAGGACTTCTTAGGACCACCTTGTAAAGCCAGAACTGGGACAAAGATCAATGAGAAACTTGACCAGGACTCCTTAATTATACAGCCCTCTTGCCCCTTTCCTCAGTTCTTCTACTTAAACCAAAAGCCATCTTCTTCTGTGGTATGGTCACTGTTAAGTTGTCCATACTTGGCTTGGTGAGATGGCTCAGTAAGGCATTTGCCACCAAACCTGACGATCACAGTTCGATCCCTGGGGACCCACATGGTAGAAGGAGAGAACCAACTCCTGAAAGTTGTTCACTGATCTACACACACACACACACACATACACACACACACACACACACACACACACACACACACACACCATGCTCAAGTAAGCAATCCTAATTAAATCCAGTGAGTCATGACAAAGCAAACAAAAAAGACTCAGGAGGGCTCTTGTTGGGAACAAGAGGTTCTGTGGGAGGGGATGAATGAGAGAAGGTTAAAAATGACTAAAATACATGTATAAACTTGTCAAAGAATAAAAAATAATGTTTTAAAGTATCAACAATGAAAAAGCCCTAAAGCTCTAAGATGAACTTGGGATCACAGGACTACTGTCTCTGTTCCTCTTCCGAACCCATGGATGAAATCTCCTTTCTCGTTTTTCTCTATTACTGATCACACTTCCCTCTGTCTGGAGCCCAGTTTCTATCAGCATATGAACTGCTTTAAATTGGTTGAGAATCTCTACCCGACACTCTGAAAACCCAGGGGAATGTGTTTCTGTGCAGTAGGTATGTGAACTACTGGTGCTCACTTCTCACCTCACCTGCTCACCCGGTGTCTGCCGCTGACCACGGCTGCCTGAATAAATCTCTGTGAGGCTCACTCCATCAGGGTCTGCCTGGCCTTCAGGAGCATTCGTTTGCTAAAACTAAAATCCTTTGAGTTAATCATTGTTTTGAATAAGCCAACAGAAAATTGTACAAACGGTGGTCAAAAGTAAGGTCTGACTTTTTTTTAATTGTGATGAGACTGGGGGACAGAGCCTGGGTGAGGGAGACACCTAGCTGTCTTCTCTCCATTGGGGCAGACAGGCGGACAGGACCAAGCACTCCTATGAATCTAAGACAGGTTAGCTAGAGGAAGCATCACAAGTTTAATTGAGGTTTACTATGACACAGAAGCCTTCAGAATGTCCAGAGAAATTTCCATCTTTAGACTGATGAAGGAACAAGTTGAAAAGACTAGACAAAGGGGCTGATGTAATGACCACCCGCTGAGGGAAACCCAGCAAGACCTGTCTATCTGGATTCTGTGTAGCATTCTTTCCTCCCAGGCCTGGGGCAGGACCCCTCTGGAATGAGGGTCTTCGAGGAAGATGGGATAAAGGGGAGAGCCACTGTTCTAGGTTGGTGACTTCAGACGGGGACTAAGTGGTTCTAGTTTCTAGAACTCATCCCATAGGAAGCGAAATTTAGGTTTTGGGGCAGCGGAGGGGAGCAAAAATCTTAAAATTATTATAATGAAAAAAAGGTAGACTTTTCAGGAAGTTAAAAACCGAACTTTTAAAATTCATTCTAATGTTTATTGAACTTATATACGGTGTGTTTGAATGAGAACAAAATTAAGCACATGAAAGGAAGAAATAATTTGAAGATCTTATCTGAAGGAAATGATGTAATTAAGCATTTGGGGTTTTTTGGCTCTCTGTAAACAGTTTTGCCCTTATAACATATAAAATGCTTCGATTTTCTAGTGTTCTGTATACTTATTTAGGCGTGTCAGGTGTATGGAGGATTGCCTACAAAGAATCTTGAAGAGTGAGTCAGGAGTTAGCTCCCCTAAGGCAGTGAGGGCAGGGTCCATGGTAGGTCATGAGCTAATCATGTAGCACATGTGGCCACTACTCTGACTGGACAAGTAACACATGATCATTTCTCCAGGTGGGCTGAGGGGAGCATGCTATTATAGGGCAAGAAGACTCCTTACTGGCTGGGCCTTGTGATGTGCTCAAAAATGAAGCAGGCCAACAGAGATGACCTCAGTCTCCATCCAAGATCTACCACGAAACCCATAAAAGGCCACTGGGCAGGGCAACATGGTGTTCCTCCCTGGGACCTCCCCTACTCTCACAAGTTCTTTCCCCCTTTTCCTTAATCAATCTATGTTCCTCCACTCCCTCCTCGTCTGGGTTTCTTATTCTCCATGGGTGTGAAACAATAAACTCAAAAGCATTGTTCTTGTTTCATTCCATTGCTGTGATAAAACATTCTAGCCAAAAGCGAGTGAGGGGAAGAAAGGGTTTGCTTGCCTTACACTTCCAGGTCACAGTCCCTCACTCAAGGAAGTCCAGGCAGTAATTCAAGCAGGAGCTTGAAGCAGAAACCACAGAGGAAGGCCATTTGCTGGCTTGCTCAAAGACTCACACTTTGCTAGCTTTCTTATACATCCTAGGACCACCTGCCCATAGTGGGCTGGTCTCTTCTACATCAATTAATAATCAAGACAATCCCATGCAGATATGCCCACAGGCCAGTCTGATCTTGGACATCTCTCAATTGAGCGGCCTTTCGCAGATGACTCTAGGCTGTGTCAAGTTGACAAATTACAGCTAACTAGGACAGTGATGGGTGATGGGGACTCTAGTTCCCCGAGTTAAGCTCCCCAAGAGCTGAGAAAGTCTCTTAAAAAAAAAAAAAGACATACATAAGGAAATTCAATGATTTTTTTTTTCATGGTCCTGGAGCCTGAACCAAAGATTTCAGCCCTGCTGTTGACAAGTGCCCTAATTGAACTACATACACTCCCATCCCTGAAAATTCTTTTCTTCTTTTTTTTTTAATATATTTTTTTATGTGTATGAGTGTATTGCCTGCATGTATGTGAGTGCACCTGTGTTGTACAATGCCACGGAGGTCAGAAGAGGGCTTTGGATTCCCCTGGAACTGGAGTTAAAGACCGTTCATAGCTGCTATATGGGTGCTGGGAATCAAACCCAGGTCCTCTGCAAGAGCAGTCAGTGCTCTTAACCGCTGAGCCATCTCTCCAGCCCCACCATCCCTGAAAATTCTTGATAATGAAATAAGTGTCAGTTTATTTCTTGTCTTTCTGAAAGCCCATTGAAGTCCAATGTGTTGTTACAGAAAGAAAATACCCATAAGAAAACAGAGCCAAAAGGGGTTCAAGGCAGGGGACTGTCCACAGAACAGTTTCCACATGATCTCTGCAAGATAAGAGCTGACAAAGCTGTAGAGGATGGCAGAAAGCAGGAGCCAGGGGCTCTCCTGAGCTTTTCTAAGACTCTTAATGAACGGAAGCGAGGTTGCAAAGTGCCTTTAACGGCAGTGAGTCAAGGAAGTAGAGTATGATTTCTTCTAGAATCAAATTGGTCAAAAGATCAATGGTTAAATAGAATCAAGAGTGTGGTCTGGAGCTGGCTGACCTTGAGAAGGGAGCGAGACCAGATTCTGGGAAGAGGGGGTGACATGTGGCACCCCTGGGAGGTATCAAGTTCATACTGGGCACAAGTGTCCTGGCATAGAAGCAGAAGCCAGTGGACCTCACAAAGCGTATTCCAGCCAGGACAGAGGTCTGCTATACTGGCTGCGATGGTCATGCAAGCCCACAGTGAGGCAGGTCCAGAACCCAATCTTATCAGATTGAAAAAGAGAAACACATTGTTGTAATGCAAGAGTTTGTGTTATAACTCATGACTTTGACATTAAGAGGAGCTGTAGCTGTATAGCACCTTGAGTAATAGTAAGTTTGATTATTATAGTAAACCTTTAGGAGAAAAGTTTTTGGTCAAAGGGATCTTTTGAGACCTAAAATTAAAAGAACAGATTGTCTGCTAATGCCTAGAACTGGCTTGCCTTCTAAGAATCTTCTTTTGCCCTGACATCACTGCCTCTTGCTGCTGGGTACAAATCAGGACTATCACTGGACTCTCTGAGCTTCCCTGTCATCAATCAAATCTGTTCTGTCAATCTGCTAGATACTGTCAGTGTTTGCAGTCCCACCCGGAAACCCGAAGGTCTTCACAGAGACCGTCCCATTCCAGCCTCAAAACTGCCTGAGCACAGGGGTGAAGGGACCTGATGGACAGGGTTTCCCCTTCCTTCCAAACCAAAGAAGTCAGCATTGATCTGTTTTATATTTGAGACCTGTGCTGGACAACTTTAGTGTCAACTTGACACACCTGAGTTGAGGGAGCCTCACTTGGCAAATTCCCTCTATTGGACTGGCCTGTGGCCATGTCTGAGGAGCATCTTCCTGATGAGCGATGTGGGAGGGCCCAGCCCACTGTGGGTGGTGCCACCCCTGGGCAGGTGGGCCTGTGTTGCATAAGAAAGCAGGCTGAGCAGGGGCCAGGGGAGCAAGCCAGTAAGCAGTGTTCCTTCATGGCCTGTGCTCCAGCTCCTGCCTCCAGGTTCCTGTCCTGAGTTCCTACCTTGGGCTCCTTGATGAACTGTGACCTGGTAGATATAAGATGTAAGATAAATAAACCCTTTCCTCCCCAAGTTGGTAGTGTTCAAAGTGTTTTGTCACAGCAATGAAGAGACAAACTAAGACAAGACCTTAACCCAAACAAGTCATACTATAGAAAAGAGGATTTGAAAAGTCGCTGGATTAGATAACACAAGGTCCCTCTGAGCCCGCACTTTATATCTTAAACAAGCCTTTTACGGTGACTGTCTGGAACCTGAGAGCAGAGCTGCCTAGATAATTTACAGAGCTCAGAGCAAAGTGAAAATGCTGGGTCTCTTGTTCATAAAATAGTAAAGATGCTGGTCATTGTGGAACACACCTGTAATTCCAGTACTTGGGAGACAGAGGAAGGATTGCAGTAAATTCAAGGCCAGCCTGGTCTACATATGGAATTCTAGACCAACTAGGGCTACATAGTAAGTCTATCTCAAAATACAAGACAAAAGAACTAAAACATAGAACCATACGTGAAAGTGTATAACTGCATTTAGGAGGCAGAGGCAGGAGGATCTCAGTAAGTTCAAGGCCAGCTTGAGCTAAGTAAGAACTTGGCTTAAAAAAATAAAAACAGGGCCATTGAGATGGCTCATCAGGTAAGGTGCTTGCTGCCAAGTCTAACCGCCTGGGATCCATATGGTGGAAGGAGAGATCCGAATCCCACTAGTCATCCTCTGACCTCCATATGCATGATTAGAATGTGCACCCCACCCACACAAATAAATAAATGGATGTAATAAAAATGTTTTGAAGACTAAAACATAAATCTTCCATCTTCTTTCTTTCTCCTGTCATCTTTCTTTCAGCTTGTCATGATGTTTTGAGTTGCTGTAATGTCATTTTAAGTAAAGAGGAAGTAAAATTTTAAGCTATGGATATAAAATTTACCACTCATCTTTAAATTGTACAGAATCAGTTTGAAATGAAAATATTAATTCATATGTAGAATCACTGAAAATTACACAATTCATATTTCATACCTTGTGCCTACATACATATTAATTAACCAGAAGAGGAATAGAGACAAAAGCTAAGGCCAGTGCTTTTAGTTTTCATCTTGGTTTACAAAGTCAGACTCAACCTTAAATTTGTGATAAGAAAGAAAGAACCCAAAGGAAGAGGAACTGTGGTTGCTTTGTGGTTTTTCTTTGTCTAACTTCAGCATAGACAGTTAAGTAACACAGGAAAGAGACAGCTCAGTATGTAAAGGCATTTGCTGCCAAGCCTGATGACCTGAGTTTGATACCTGGAACCCACGTGGTAGAAGGAGAGAACTGAGTGCCCCAAGTTGTCCTTTGACTCCCATACCTGTGCCTATGGTGCACAGAAACTCAAGTGGACACACATACATACAAATAAATAAAAAATAATAAATTACTTTTTAAGTAGAAAGGCTTTTGAAATGGAATCCCTGTAGTGGAAGATGGTTTAATTGGTAAAGCATTCAAACTGGTGTTCAGATGCTCAACACTCACTACACCAGGTCGGGGCAGTGGCCCATCTGTAATTCCAGCACTCTGGAGGCAGAAACAGGATCTCAGGGCAAGCTGACTCCCTAGATTAGCAGAATCAATGAGCTCTGGGTTCGTCTGAGAGACCTGCTTCAATATATAAGGCAGAGAGTGACGGAGGATGACACCTGATGTCGACCTCTGGAACCCCCGTGCATATACATCCACTTGCACGCCACACATACCTGCCCCCCAAAACATGTACACACCATATATACATACATGAAGGAAGGAAGGAAGGAAGGAAGGAAGGAAGGAAGGAAGGAAGGAAGGAAGGAAGGGAAGAATGGAAAAATGTGAGTTTGATTAGCAAAATGTAAGTGAAGGATATATGGCTCTTGGCAGAAGCATTTCAGTGCTAATTTATTTATCTGCCACAGAAGCAGCAATATCTGGTCAGTGTGATGTTACGGTTTAACTATGGAATGCACAGGTTCATTTGTCAACTGTCTGGTCCCCAGCTGGTGACACTGTTTTTGAAGGTGGTAGAAACTTTAGAAGTTTGGGCCTAACTGGAGGAGGAAGATCTCTGGGGTCAGCCATTGAAGTTGGACTTGGTCCCCAGTCGCTTCCCCTCCCTCTGCTTCCTGTCTGTCATAAGGTGAGTGGTCTCTGTCACATGTTCCTACTGTCATGTTCTGCCTCATCCTAACTCAGAGTCAACAGAGCCAAGGACCGTGGACTGAAATACTGGAAACAGTGAGCCAAAATAACTCATTGCTCCCTCGAGTTGTCTATATCAGGTATTTTGTCGCAGTTATGAAGAGTCTGACTAACACATAGAGCTTCCATCAGCATGAAAACTGTGACAGACTCCAGCACCCAGCACTCACTTTGAACTTGTGGGATGCAATAAGAGCAAGACACAGTCCTTTACCCTAATGATCTGGGGTTAGCTGCTACTGCCTAAACAGTACAGTACTGCTCTCATACCTAAGAATGCGAAATACTAGAAGCATCTTTGGTAAATTCTGTGAATGTTTATTAAGTATTAACTCACCATTAATTTTCATATGTGTTATTTGAAGAATGAAACAAAGGAACAAAGTTCTAAAGGTTGAACCTAATTTGTTTTGTCCCCAGAGGTCTTCACTACTATCCCAGAGTTGCTATCACAGCACAGAGCCTGTAATTCATGCCACCAGACAAGATCTTCCCTTTTATCAGACTTGGCAAATACAGCAGATAATAATTCTGCTCCATCTTTGCCTCCCCTCTATAGTGAGCAGGAAGAATATTTG